GTTTTTGTGCCTGTTCCAATTAAGTTGACTATACTTGTGAGTTCTATGAGTTCTCATTTGATTGCAAAAGGCAAAGCACCTTGATCTGTGAAAGTACATTGATGTGTATGGGTGAGCTGCTTAGCAACTTGGAAGCAATGGTAGGTCCTTGTGCTGCCAAATGGCAAGAAATTAAGATTAGGAAAGTTCAGTCTATATGAGTTTGGATTTGTCCTAAACCTTGTCATGTGATAGTGGTTGGGAATGAAGAATTCACATGGATAGGAACACATACACCATAAAATCTAAGTGGCAAGAGGTTTCTCTTTACTTCATGAAAATAACTGTGAGGAAACGCTTTCACAACGTAGATTTTGAGAAGATAACAGTTGTGTTATTTGTGTTCTCAAATTCGATTATGATTACGACATCCCTCTTCATAGTTTGAATTGTGAGAAATGTCAAATAGTTTGAACATTCAGGACTTATTGTAATAAGTTTTGGAAGAGTTTAGACACACACGTGAGCTATCTAAGGAAAGGTGTGTGAGCTTGATAAATCTAGATAAAGACTTATCAAAGCACCACGTATCAGAAATCTGAACTTTGGTAAGAAAGTCAATAAGTATTGATTTCTAGAAGTCCAGCTGATTTTTTGGATACACATTGAAGCTAGTGGGAGCATAATTGTTATGCTAGTGAGAAGATAATTATTATGCTAGTGTAAGCATAATTATTATAATGAGTGTTACAAGGTAGCAATGCTATTTATAGGAAACAAGTTTTCAATTTGCAAAGTTGCAAAGTTTGGGAATTGTTTCGCTATAGAAAGTTTTAAGAGATAGGAACTCATACTTCATTTCTAATCTAAAAGTTTAGATTGAAATTTTAATGGAACTTAGTCATGGATATATATGAATGTAATGTTGAAATGTTTCAACATTAGAAATTCTATATATGGAAATATTATAGCGAGAAACCAATAAAGTGTCATGTCTCTATGTAAGAGTTTATGAATCGAATCCCATATGCTTCGGGTATAGGCTCGATTGCATATTCTATAATATTCACGTGTTCTGACTTTTCCAAATGCCTAGGGTGTTAAGAGGGAAAAAGGACCAGAACAGGTTATGAGTAAAGTCATTAAACAACTGTCAAGGACAGTTGGAATTTTAGTACTGGATGGACTATATTGACATAATTATGAATAGATACGATTCTATTAAGAATGCGTTGTCATATCGCAAATATGGAAATGTTTCCGTAAAGGGAAATGGATATTAAGAATCTATGTGTAAGTTAGAAACTTTATGCACGAAGGATGTTCAAAGGAATGTACTTTAAATTAGCTTCCATGGAATTGTATTGTAACAAATCTCCAAAAAAATGCTTTGTAATATCATTGGCAAAGTCTCTGTGACTTTGGTGCTTTGACATTGCAAAAGGATCATTGCATGATAGTTTAGAATCTAACACATTCTAGTACTGGAATTTTTTTTTGGTATTCTTACACTTGTGATAAGGATTTGGAATTGTGAAATGAGCATCATTGGAAATGTGTTCAATTGATCTATTTCACAAAGAAAAGACCATAGGTAAACATAGTGTGCATGCTTAGAGCATGGGATAACTATTGTTTTAATTCAAGTATTTAGTTGATTGATCGAAACATTATACAATGAGTAAGGTCTAATTAATATGGTGATTAAATAATAAGTGTTTTAATTATATTCAAAAGTTTGAGATCATATTGGATTAGGTTATTCTTGTGTTTCACTTCGCATGTTTTACTTCCCGGATAATAAGATTATTCAAACATCCACAGTCGATCATACTTTGGAATTAAGCAATGAGGTAAGACCGTCATGAATCTGACTGCAGATTGAGTAAGTGCTTAGACATAGAAAAAAGTTTGTTGCAGTGTTCATGAGTACTCCTGAAATAAGAGTTTGAGTATTGGATTAAACCCACACTCATCTGAATCACCTCATGGATTTTATCACGAGTGATTGTGAGACGATAATATCTTATATTCTTGAAACAGAGACATATAGTTGTTGTTTACAAGTCGGTTGCACATTGATATTGCGTAAACGCATCAGTAACTTGATGTTATAAAACGTGTTGTTGTGTGTGATTTGATGAGTAAATAGTACAAGAATATGAGTTGAAGTTTATCCGTTCCTTTTACCCTTAATAGGATAAAAGCGATATTTGTGGGCCCCTCGATGATTTAGTGATGACACCCTAAGCGCTTGGCCGAGCATGGACTGATTTGATTTGTTCAATTAGTCAGTCGTCATAAATCAAAAATTAGGAAACAAAACTTGGACAGAGAGACTGATTATAATCCATGTCTCATGTCCATAGGATATCTTGCAGAACAGAAGAATATTTGATCCCTTATCTAAAGGACGCGTTACTGATATGATCAGAGTTCGACAACGGATTTTGAAAGCTACGATTGCTAATAAGATTTTGAAGTCATACTTGCAATAATAGTTATTAGACTTATCCAAGTGGGAGATTGTTGGATTAGGTATCTAATCCAATAACTATATTTGGTATGTACTTGATTTGATTATGAGCATTGTGCTTTTGGGTTGCCTTCACTCATGCAACTTGATAGGATGACAAGTGGAGAGAGAGAGAGAGAGAGAGAGAGAGAGAGTAGGATTTATTATATAAATAATAATTTGGTACTCATAATGATTTTATTAATATATTACAAGATTAATATATTATTTGGAAATTATATTATTAATTGGTAATTAATCAGAAATTAATTTGATATTAATTTTGTGATTAAAAGGAACTGGTTGATAATTGAGGGGATGTTTTACAAAGTTGTGAAACTGGGCTATGGACTCTTTTTAGATGGGGTGGACGAAATCTATAGGAGACCCTATAGAATTTCGTCCACGGCAGGGGCGGAGCTAGAATTTTAGATTAGCGGGGGCTTAGACGTACATCGTAATATATATATATATATATATATATATATATATATATATATATATATATATATATATATATATATATATATAATAAACCATTTGAGTGAGATATATGTCTATATTGTATGTGAGTTTATAGTCTTACATCATAAAGAGATATTGTAATATGGAAAGTAATAATACATATTGCAATGTTATTTGTATAGTTATAACTTTGATGTTTTCTGAAAAAGTTAAGTAATAAATAATGAATAATATATAACAAAACATTAATATTCAATAACATTAATTACATTTTAATACATACAAAAAGAGATGAAGCATACAATTGATGTTGGGCTTTGAAAGAGATGGAGCATATAGTTGATGGTGGGCTTTGGCCTTTGAGTGGTAATATACTAATGTCTATGGTGTTAAGGGGCACAACACCCACTAGCCCCCCTACTGGCTCCGCCCATGGTCCAAGGCCTCTGGAGTTGGAGTCCATGAGTTGCTTGTGGCCTAAGCAAGGAATTAGGGTTTCCTCCAGAAACCTAGTAGCCCACACAGCTATATAAACCCCCAATTCATGAGGATTTCGACCCTATGCATTCCAGAGAGAAACCCTGGCCGATTTCCTGTCTCTCTAGTCATCCTTGTTGCATTATGAACTACTAGAAAAACAACCTTTTACGAAGCGAAAAGTGTGTCGTAAAACGCTCAGACGACGTGCAAATGCGTGTCAAGGAAGGCCCTGTCATAACGAGAGACGGCACGCTTTTGTGCGTCGTCTATTTACGACGCGCATTTACGACGCACATTTATGACACGCATTTACGACGCGCAGTTATGACACGCAATGCGTATCAAGGAAGGCCCTGTCATAAAGGAAGACGACACACATTTGTGTGTCGTAACCTTACTACACGCGTGTTTATGACACACAATGCGTATCAAGGAAGCCCCTGTCATAAATGAAGATGACACGCATTTGCGTGTCATAAACTTCAATAACCATTTTCGATATGCATTTACGACGCGTCTTTACGATACTCATTTACAAATAATACAAAAATATGTAAAGAAATCAATTTCATCCAATAACATCATGTCAAAAAACTATAATACATTGATATTAAGGGGATCTAATTGTACATTGTTATTAAGAGGTTTTCCCTAACTATATAACCTAATACTATATTGCTATTAAGGGACACCTTCTGCAATGTAATGCTATACAAACTAAAAAGATATACACAAAGATGATAAATTTCAAATTCCAACTAAGTAGAGTTGCATCTTGCCTTTCATAATTCCTTAAGACTAATGAACCCCTGCTTCGATAATTCTTGTGACCCGATCAAATAAAAGTCAAAATATTAATATGCTAATATAATTATTAGAGGAATCAAATATGGAATGTTAGTTGTAAAAGATGAAATTACCCTTTTCTCCATCCAAAGAATGTGGGACCGCACTTGACAATATGATATTTGATCCATGTGATGTTCCGGGTTCCATTAAAACCTGTTCTGCATTGAAAATATGTGCACAAGTATGTATCGATAGTAGATAACTTTGTGGTGTTCCGGGTTCCATTAAGAAATGTAGTCAGATTGTTAGAAGTTAGAAGTTATTCAAGTGGATAAAATTTACCAATAGTAGACGTGTTTCCCACCGGCCAACCACCAAAAGGGTGAGTGGATGTTTCTTACACCAATGAACCATACAAGGAAAGCTCCCTGGCTACAACACTTCTTAAGGGATTCCTGCAACCACATGTTTTATACAAACCTAATTAAGCAAATGTATAATGTAGAGATTTAAGTTGAAATAACACAACTGTTATACTATAAAAAATAAAAAGATAAGAAAGAAAGAAAGGGAAAATTGAACATAAAAGGAACATACAACTGTCCTGCTGTCCAACTTTCTCCTGCATCATAATTGAAGTCGAAATAAGACATTTCTTGTTCCAAACTATATGAAAAAAAGTCAAAAACAGCAAGAGTACCTGAAGTTGAGGTAGATCAGATCGCAGTAAATTTAGTTGGTTTTGGCAAAGAAGCCAAAGTCACACAGTGACTCATGCATCTGTCCTGCTGTCCCCTAAAAAAACTGCCACAACCAGCAACAAACCACCAAAAAATACATCATCAGAAAAAAAAAATGAAAGTAGCATTTAGCCCAAAATATACATCAAGAAATTACAAGATACACCCACCAGTGTGTCGCCTGTAAACACAGCAGGGTCCTCTTCTTCTATAGTAGTGTTTAATAGCTGAAAACATTAAAAAATGATTATTACTAATGTATCAAGATTCTATAATATATAGTAGTGTTTAATAGCAATAAAGATACATGATCAAAATTAATTACCTGATGGAGACATACACTTGAATACAAAAAGTGTAAGAATAACCTCAACAGAGAAAGACCCACGATCAACAAAATCACCATTAAACAAATATGGATTTTCATCAGAGGGAAGACCATTGAGTGCAAAGATGTTTAGCAAATCAAAAAACTGCATTCGTATAAAGTGGTTCATCAGAAAAGAAAAAAAGATACAAAATGGTACTTTTTCTCTCATTTTCTCAAACATTTTTTAGAAATTGTTTACCTGACCATGCACATCACCACAAACTGTGAAGTGTTTTCCATATGGAACTTTTACATCAAAAAGAGAAGGCAAATCCATTAGAATGTCCTTTGTTTGCATGACAATCTGAAAAGCATACCAGCAACAATAACATTAAAACTAAGAGAAGATAGAGTATGATATTGAATTGATAGCAATCAAAAATTAAATATTTTGATAAGAAGTATATATGTAATATGTATACCGTTTATGTTAGGATTTCTGATTCTTGAAGTCATCCATCATTTTCTTCATGATTTATGATTTTTGAAGTCATCCATCATTAAACATTTAAGAATGTATTTAATGTCGAGGTGTTTCATTGGATTTGTTTCTACATATCTTTGTTACTATTGAAACATATTTAAATTCAACAAAGATGATTTAGCTACGAACCTGATCCATTCCCCTTTTCCACTTCCATATATATGCGGTTGGTTGACTTTTGAAGCCTGAACAATAGAATTAGAATCTTAAAGGAGAGAACAATAACCAAAGCCCAAAATCAATAGTACAATGAAAAAAAATTGCCTTGTGATATATTTATTTTTTGAATCCCAGTGCTGACTTGCAGTGTTCATGAGATTGTTGATTGCTTTAAGCTTTTTTGATGCAGCAAATTACATATGCTCATGGTATGCTTTTCAGTGTTCATGAGAAAAACAGAGGCCAGAGCAGATCTAACATGCTGAGAAGAATCTGAAGACAACTTCTACATATCACATATCATTATGAGAAAAAATTAGATAACCAAATTTTTTTAAGTTTTTTTTTATGAAAAGAAAGACCTTGACACATGGTAGAATATGCTGAATTGCAAGTTCTGAACTACAAATACGGGAGAATTTAGTGACTTTTCCAGCAGCTGTAATACGTGCTTCTACTTCATTGTCTCTAAGTAGCCGAACATATGCTGGAACCAAATTCATTCTATATTCATGATTCACAACAACATATATATTCAGCAAATGATTATCTAAAATGGATTTTGTAGATTCAAAATATATTTATTAAAATGAAAAATATAGTTACTTGGTAGGTTCAGGTCCCACAGGAGCAGCAAATTTGCCCATCACAATAACAAGCACAAGCACAAACACAAACACCCCATCACAATAACACCTTATATAAACACCAAAAAAAAAGAATATCAAAACCTTATATAAACACTTTATATAAAATGGCTACTTACTAATTCCTTGAGGAGCAAAAACTTTAAAAGAGGCCTCAATGGCTTCTTTATGTTTATCTTCATCAGGTGCGATTGTTTTTGCTTGTATTAGTTCCTAAAGAGCAAATATGTTACAAACTTACAATACTGAAAGGGTAACTTGGTAATTTGGAGTAAACCTTGAAAGTCAAAAACTAACTTTTTAAGTTCAGGCCATGGATTGTTTAGGCGAAGATCATCAAGAAAATGGGTGTCATTGAAATGCCATTAGCAGCTCCTCGCTCACGTTGGGGCTTTATTTATTTAATTATTTAATTATTTAATTATTTAATTATTTATTTATTTATTTATATATAGCTCAAACAGATTAATATGGGTGGCAGTGGCAGCTCCACAAGCTCAAACATATTAAAGTGTATGAGGGATCTTTGTAGATATAACAGTAGAACATTTCCAGAAGGATCTTTATAACTTGATGATATATCAAAGAAAACGGTCAAAAAAGTGTCTTTATCAAGTCCACATAGCTTCCATGATGTGGTGTTCCCTTGACCTATCATTCTACAAATGCACATGATAACCATTTTGTAGATATAACAATAGAACATATCATTAGTATACAAAACAATGATTCCCCAAACCGAATTTGGAGAAAAAAAACTAAATATATTCTGACCAGTACAATTGCAAATATGCACCATGGAATCCTTCATCAAATGTTTTGGATTCACCAAGTTGGGCAACTTCAAACTTGAGATAATCAGGCTTCTCCATTGTTTTGTAATATTTTCCTGCAAATTAAATGATAATCAACCAAACAATTTTTCAAACACAGAAACATATAATTACAGAAAAAGAACTTGGGAGAATCTGCAAAAAGATTTGTTACAAAGTATGATGATCGGAGAATAATAATAAACATCAAATTAGTTGGAATTAGGGCTCCACCTGGAACTCTGGGTCGAAAAGCAACATTGTTTCTTGAGCCTGGAGTATCTCCATACATGCTAAAAAAACAGTTCAGCACAGAGTCGGTTTAAGCAAACCTCAAACCACAATCTCCTGTTAAACTCAATCAGACATGATAATCTGTAGCTACCTCCATAATTTGGGTCACCTATTCCAACCTGCTCACTTATGTGGACCTGCAAATACACATTACAAAACAGTTAATCACCAAAATGTAACAAATTACAAAACTAAAAAAATAATAACAACTAAAACTACAAGAAACAGTTACACAAATTGATAAGAAAGAATCAAACAAAAAACCGCTCCTACGTAAATTTAGAACTGTAGCACCCCGTGATGATAGTTCCATTGATGGAAAGAAAAACTTGCAAGCATCATACATTAAAAATCATTTCAAACTCAGATAATAAGGCAAACAGATGGCACACCAGCTATTATACTAATGATCATTTCAATTTTATTTGAATCAGCCTTGACTTTGAAATCATATAAGAAGAAAAATATGTAAATTAATAGTATGTATGTATTCCATAATTATTATTCAGAAATTTGGTTTATATCAATTGAAAAAGGTAAGATAATAACTTCATGATGGCTTACAGTGTTAATGAGATCAATGATAACGGGAAGTTTTTGGTGAGCCAACTTTAAATTTTCAACCATCTTCTGCCATGGCCATGCTGATGAAGATGTTGTATCTTTGGAAGAGCTAACAACAATGTCATCTTTTTTTTGTTTCTTGTTTGGGCCTTCCCTTTCTACAGCCGAAGCAAAGTGTATTCTCCAAATTCGATTCATTCTGTTATCATCATAACTTAAATCGCTGCAAACATCACACTAATAAGATCAGAAAATGGATTAAAGATTACCAACTTGGAAGTACATATGCTGTCAATAAAGGAAAAAAATAGTTGCAATCTATATTAACTGAGAAACTTTTTTTTCAAAAACTTGGATCAGATTTAGATATAATTCATTATCAGAATGCTCGTCAAATTTTTTTTAGCTTGAATCTATCTCAAGTAGCTGATAAGTTATTAATAAATTCCTGAATCTAGCAGCAGAAGTGGTGATGCTTTCTTTTCCTATTCTTTATTAATGGCTATGTTTCAATGATGTGTTGTACATAACTGTTTGAGATACTCATATTATATTTGTAATTCCCCTTTCCAGGCCAAAAAAGATGGATTTCAAGATGTTTTTTTGTGTCATTTGACACTACATTTGGAAGTTGCAATTCTTTTTCTAACCAGAATCTTATCGTGGGAAGCAAAGAGTTGTACTATATCACACCCTTTGTTCATTGAGGACTTTTATGAAACAGGTATGTCCTTCTAGACCAGTACCTTAGATATGTCTGATATGTCTGATCATAGAAGATAGAATGGCAAGGAGAAGACAGTAATCATAACTGAACAGTCAACATCAATTTATGGAAAAAAATCACCTGCAAGACTGGTGCTTGAAGGCACATGAGAGTCAACAATATTTTTTTCCAACGTCATCTGCCCCCAACCTTAAATATATATTGACAAAATATCATGTTAGAAACAGATTGTTGGTATCCTTTCTACAACATAAATAGCCAAAAAAAATTATATACAAACTGATAAAGATTAATGAACAATTTAGTAAATCACTAAATTGCCACCTTATCCAAGGATGTGCAAGGTCCTATGATTCCCTGAACAGGATCTGCATATTTGTCCAGATCTTTATGTGAACGAACAGGATTTGAGAGATCTTTGGAGATAATCTGAAAGAAGATTGAAGGGGGATGGAGGGTTGGGTTTAATGGGAAGTAGAAATGATTCAATGGAAAAAAGGATATCAAAATGGATTACTGAACCAGGGCCTTCTGTGCAGGAACCTCTGATTAGTGCCACCATACGAGCAATTGTTCCAGGAAAGCAAGCTCCAAGCAGACCTGCTGCAAATGTGACTCCAGTACACCTTAATGAACGATTTGTTTTTGAAGAGACAAACTGATAGTCTACGACATCAGATATTGAGAATGAAACACAGATTTCGGTGAAGCTAATGGATGATTTTGATGTAGACGATTGCCATTCAGATGATGATGGAATAGATCATAGTCAAAAGGAGGCCCAACGTTCTCTGGAATTACCTGTTGCTAAAGAGCTAGAACCATTTAATTTTGAAGAAACAAACAGTCGTTGGATTTTGAGATTGAACTACCTATCTAGGGCTTAACTTACATGATACTTGAATCGTACCTATCTAGGGCTTTATTATTTCATAGATGGCGATAGAGAGAAGTCGTAAAACCTTTAATCTCCTTGTAAGTCCAACATAGGCACAATGTAACGAGCCCTAAATTATAGTCCTGTGAGCATGAGGATCCGTAAATGGTTGGCTCTTAAACAAACGCTTGTACACTTGAGCAGTCATCACGGTCTCGGTGAGGTGAGGTGAGCTCGAGGTCGCCGGCAGGAAGAGGTAAGCGGAGGTTGTCGGAGCTCAAGGTCGCCGGAGAAGTCGTAAAACGAAGTCTTATACACACAAGCCATTGTCTCGAAATTAGGTTTTTGCTCCCATCGACAGTCACAGAGCGCCGGAATCTGATTGTTATCGGAATGTTATATAAGGATTTTGCAAGGTTTTGTGAGGATGGGGTGAGAGAGCTACAAATGGTGATGGTGGATGAAGTGTTGGTCGATAAGGCCGGTACATCGTCGTCGTGTAGGCCTGAAGAGTCAATGTGGGTTGGAGGTAGTGGAGGTGGGTGAGGGGCGGAGACGAATGAGAAGAGATATTAGAGAACAGATCGAAACGAATGTAGGAGAAGAAAGAGGGGTTTAAAATTTTTGGGGGTTTCATTTTCCCTCTAAGAAGAGAGACGCGTGTTTCTTAAAAAAAATATAAAACGACAATCACAGAGGACGCACAAGTGCCCTCCGTGTTTTTAATTTTTTTTACACAAGAAACTAATTTAAGGGCACGCAATAATGCGTGACCTAAATCTTTAAATTTTTTGAAGAGATGACACTTTTTAATGTCACTTTCTTTTGCTTAACATAAATCACTGAGTGTCGTGGTTTGCGCGTCGTAAAAGGGTCTTTTTCTTGTAGTGATGTGTTTGTGACTCCATTAGAGGTGCAACACTTGGGGCACTAAAGCTTTCAAGGTCAAGATCTTCAAGGATTGTTCCTGTTATTGCTACATAACAAGTGAGGTAATCATAAAACCCTATTTTATATGTCAATTTTGAAATTGTATATGCTATTTTAGGGTTCTATGCTTTGGTATTCAATTTGCATGTTCAATTGAGAAAAACTTAGATCCAAAGCTATTCGGGTTGCATATGCACCATAGGAATGATGTAATGCTCATAACCCATCAATAGACACATAATACAGGCAAACAATAATCATACAACTCACTACTACCTACTAGTCCTCTCACATCATACAGTCCCACTACCAGCTAACCTCCATAGAATGCATAACCATAAGTAACCAGAGGTGAGATAGCCACCCGGACAGATGATCCTACTCTAGAGCCACAACCAAAAAAGGAACAAGCAAGAGAGCCTAGGCCAAGAGTTCTCAGGCTATCCTACATGACCACAAACAGTCCCTAAGGGCACTCCATAGATGATAACCAGCAAGCACATATAACATACGATTCTATAGATTATTACAGCAAAGCAACATACTCAATACCAGGAGACAAATCCAATAGATCACTACAACATAGCAACATACTCGATACCAGAACATAGATCTAACAAATTACTACAGCGTAGCAACATACTCGATACCAGAAATCAGATCTAACAGATCACTACAGCATAGCAACATACTCAATACCCGAATACAGATCTAAAAGATCACTACAGCATAACAACATACTAAATAATAACAATCCAAGGAATGCATGGTCGTATATACTCAGAGGTGAGATAGT